GCCCTATGCTTATGGAAAAAGATATTGATCAATTTTCTAACTTACTTGTGATGATAGTTTAGTTTCAACGAGCAATCCGGACACAGCCCTGAAATACAATTAATGATAAAAAGGTTATTCCAGCAACATGTAACAAGTCTGCACGTAACAAATTGTTAACAAGTTGATGACAACAAGCTCGTAGCAACTTGTGACAAACAGCTTCTATCAGTGTTGTTGGAACAACTTGTTGCAAGCCTGTTACTGCCATCAACCTTGTAACAAGGTGATAACAACTTGTTCCAGACTTGTCACAACAACTGGGAAAAAGCAGTACGAACACATCCTGATATCGGCTTGATTGTTGTCAACCTCTTGCAGACCTTGTTACAACTTGTTCCAGACTTGTCACAACAACTGGGAAAAAGCAGTACGAACACATCCTGATATCGGCTTGATTGTTGTCAACCTCTTCACCTTGTTACAACTTGTTCCAGACTTGTCACAACAACTGGGAAAAAGCAGTACGAACACATCCTGATATCGACTTGATTGTTGTCAACCTCTTCACCTTGTTACAACTTGTTCCAGACTTGTCACAACAACTGGGAAAAAGCAGTGCGAACACATCCTGATATCGACTTGATTGTTGTCAACCTCTTGCAGACTTTGTTACAACTTGTTCCAGACTTGTCACAACAACTGGGAAAAAGCAGTACAAACACATCCTGATATCGGCTTGATTGTTGTCAACCTCTTGCAGACCTTGTTATAACTTGTTCCAGACTTGTCACAACAACTGGGAAAAAGCAGTACGAACACATCCTGATATCGGCTTGATTGTTGTCAACCTCTTGCAGACTTTGTTACAACTTGTTTGCAGATCTGAAACAACTTCCGCAAACTTAAAGGGGAAATGTCACCGATTTTTGACCTAAAATGCCTTTTATTCAAAAACTGAACTACAAAGTTAAAACTAAACATTGTAAATGGATTAAGTTATGATATATGAGTCATATTAAACAACTTTGAACGTACACGCAACATGTAACACGACATTTTCATAAAAATTGACTAAAACTTGAAAAAGTGTCTGCCAACAATTAATCAAGATGCCATTTACAATCCATCTCAATCCTGGCGTAATCTTGCCCATCCAGACTTCTGTACATGTTTTTTTGTGTCTGTTATTGCTTTATTGTGTGCTTACACTCATTCTTTTTCAGTTTTGGGCAAAATTTGCGAGAGTTAGAATTTCTCAAAAATCGGTGACATTGCCCCAACCCACCAGTTTCGAAAGACACTATAGCTGGGATTGATGTATCTAAGTATACCGCACATAGCAGCCGGGCGACGGCAACCTCACATGCAAAGTCTAAACGACTTGCAGTGCAAGAGATAATGAAATGTGCTGGCTGGTCTTCAGACACAATTGTTGCTAGATTTTGCAAGAAACCGGTACAAACTTCGCAAAATTTTAGCTAAGTCGTTCTCGGTAATCGAACTTGACTGTGTATAGATATTTAATGTTCATGTTGGTTGTCATGTTACATACTCCTATGTTAGAGTTAACAAATTATTAGATTACAGATCTATTGGTTGACTATTTGTCATGTTTTGATATATAGTCCGAGCAGGACTTTGAAATCTAATGTGACTCCGTAGTGACGTAGGCTGATAACAAGATAGAATTGAAAATTAAACAAGACTTACCTGTAAGTTGAAGTTTGATGGTAATTCTGTCTTGTCATCAGCCAGGAACGAACGAGTCACATGCCCATATTATCCCTCCCTTCCCAGTATTGACTCCTTCGTTCCATAACTTCCTGCTCGTACTTGCTTTGAAAGACTGATTGGCGATGCACGCATGCGCATCGCATGTGACTCCTTCGTTCCTGGCTGATGACAAGACAGAATTACAATCAAACTTCAACTTACATGTAAGTCTCGTTTAATTTTCAATTTTAAAGCATAAAAAGAACAGTTCTTCAGAGTGATATTTGCTAATAAAACACGTATATAATTAAAATTATCGTGTTGCCATGGCAACACTGACGTAAACGCGAGCCTGTGTTCAGTGTTGATCAATTACTAATACTTCATGCTAAATCAATGTTTGGGAAATACAGGCGAGGAGTTGCTGCATGTCATGCATGCATGTATTTCTAAGAGTTCTTACTAGTAAAGCAATAGCCTGCAAACAGAGAGTTCAAAGAGAGCCTGTTCGCAGGATAGTAAAGCAATAAAGTCACAAAGCCAAAGGAAGCCATTTTGAAAGCGTGTGCGTACAAGAAACACTAAAACAGTAACCGTGAACCGGCCGAAACAGTTTTATTTCTGAATTTTAATTAAACTGATATTTGAATATTTTGTTTTATTCATTAAAATTTATATTAAAACAATTATTCGCCTCAGGCTCATAATTGTCAAATATAAAATATATTTACATTCATCAGTTACATTAAAAATTTATATTAAAACAATTATTCGCCTCAGGCTTCATAATTGTCAAATATAAAATATATTTACATTCATCAGTTACGTTTGTCCGCTTAAGTGAGGTTATTTGGTCCATTGGGACTTCGAGTTCAGTGTCCTCTTCCGCTTAACGGAAGGGTGAGATAATTCAAGATTTTTAGTTGTAGTTCTGACTGGTATGCATGCAGGGCCATAACTAGACACGATAATTGGGGATGTATCTGTGTATATTCATATATTCATGTTCACATAGTTACCGTAAAAACAATCGTTTCCAAAAGAAATCCGTCGAGCAGAACACAAATATATGAATATTCCCC